GATACAGACACCATAAATTACAAAGAAAATTACTTTACAACACTTAAAAGATTAGTTCTGGTCACATTCCTCTCATTATAGGCAAGATTTATGTTGGAATTTGAACTTAAGCCCTTCAATGTATTAGTACCCCAACTGTGAGAATGTCATAGCTTTCCTTGTATTATTGAGATGAATGTGTTTAGTCTGTTTCACAACCAACATATGGGCTTTATTGTTGTCACTTGTACACTGAGTTTTAACACATATATAAAAGACTCGTACAAGAATAAAAACTTCATTTACCACAAGAACCCACATATACACCACAAATCAGGAGTCTTCGCTAAAATCGTGAAATTGGAGCACTTCAAATTTCATCTATGGTAAGATGGGCTTTATTTATACATAATAGTTATAAATACTGAAAGATGTTATGTTGCTAAGGGTGAATAATTAAACAAGATAACTTTATTGAAATTAGTTTCACTTTATTTTATTTTAGTTTATACACATATATCACCATCATACATGGAGTGATATCTTTCAGTAATATAATGTCAGAAGTATTTACATATTTATGTATAAACTGTTTGTATGTATTAGTTCTACCTGCTCCTTACACAGAATAATAATTTCTTGCATTTATTTTTAGTTTCCTTGATATCAAGAATAAAGAGGTAGATTGAAGTATCTCCCTACACATACTTGGATATCACATAAAGTAAGATGTATGCTTTTTTCATATAACATGTAATTAGTAAATTTCCATGGTGTATATCTTACTTTTGATGACGAATATGTAAATCAGATTCATTAGTTGTACGTCATATGAATTAGTTTTTACTATATTTTGTGATTTTGCTTATGTTCATACACATATAAACAAAATGTATGTTTGTTAAATGTATTCTTAAATTCAAATGTATATGTATCATGTTTTCATTATGTCAACTGAATATTAACAGCATATTAATTTTCTTAGATGGAAGATACTTCAGTACTTGGACAGAAAAAAAATCTTTCCTTAGACGAGGCTCTGAAATTGTTTTTCGCTTCCTCCTCTGAAGAAGAGTCTCTTTCTGAGATTGAAGAAACCAAGAACAAAGTTGGAGAGGAGGAAGAACCAGCTTTGCTGGACTCAAATTAGTTTGAGGAGCCTGACTTACCTTCAAGGGAAGAAGACTCTCCTCATGACCACCAACAATCTGAGGTTAGTGATCTTCCCATGACCAGCACTACATCAACTTCCAAAATGGCCAAAGGCAAGAAGACACAAAAAAGCCCCTGGCCTGTAGTGTGGAATGGAAATGGGAAATTCTCAAAGATGATCAGCCCAGATTGTTGGGGGACTTCATCCGAGGAGAGCCTGTTTCCCGTCAAGCAAGTAGGTGTCAGACTCCTCTTGATTTTTTTCAACTTTTTGTTTCTCTCAGCATTGTTACCAAAATTGTTGAAGAAACAAATAGATTTGCACACTAGCAAGGGGAACACTTAAAAAACGATGTCGGGAAGAAAAGGACACTGCTGAAATATAGCGATGTTACTCCTGAAGAAATTTTAGCTTTTATTGGTTTAACTATTTCTATGGGTACAACTCGCTTACCATCTATTTCAGATTACTGGTCTACCACTCCTTCACTTCAGTTTCCTTGGTTTTCTTCAATATTTTCCAGAGAAAAATTCATAACTATTGCTCGCTTCTTTCATTTCAATGACAATACTAATAATCCACCTAAAACTGATCCTAAGCATGATAAACTCTTCAACGTCAGACCTGTGCTTGATCATCTACTAACAGCTTTTACAGCTCACTATAACCCTTCTAGAGAACTTTCTATTGATGAGCAAATGTTTGAAACAAAAGGCAGAATTTCTTTCAAGCTATATCTATCTAGCAAGCCTACCAAGTGGGGAATCAAGCTTTGGGTTCTGGCAGAAGCTGTGACTGGATACTGTTTAAATTTTAGAATATACTCTGGTAAAGAGGGATCTGCACCTTCCAAGGCCTTAGCTAACACAGTTGTAATGACTCTGATTGAAAAGTACCTTGGAAGGGGACACTTTTTACTGATAACTTTTATACTTCCCCAACTCTGTTTGATAAGTTGCTTTCACTTGGTACTTATGCTTGTGGCACTTGTAGAAAGAACCATACCCACTTCCCAGACATGTTTCCAGGTAAGTTAAAAAGGGGAGAGTCACAGTTTTTCAACTGTAGCTCAATGACAGCTGTGAAGTGGACTGATAAAAAAGATGTTTATGCTCTTTCTACAATGCATAATGCTACAGTAAAATAAGTGACAAGAAGACAGGGTGACATGATTAGCAAGCCACAGCTAACCTTGGATTACAACAAGTTTATGGGAGAGGTTGATCTTAATGATCAATTTCTTAGCTATTATTCCATTCCACA